ATTCATCAAATTGATATATGTTTCTGTGAGCGCACAATGGGCACTGATAATGAAATGAAGAAAAAGTCGACTGTGGTTTGGTTTTTATCAGTTAGGGTTAGACTGTGAGCGTCATTTACTAAACAGAGCAGATAGAGTAATCCGGGGTGGGGACTTGACTAAGAGGAGGTATAAGTTCACTGGGGAAATAAAAAACAACCAGGCCATTAACACTGCATATTTAGGCCAAGTTGGCATTTAAATCCTTTATTAGCTTAGAGCGGGTCAACAGGATAAGAAGAAATGATAACAGAATCCTTTACTTGCCCACTAACTGTAACGCCGCTATACTCATATGCGCACGGGATCTGATTCGTGGAGGAGGTCAGAAGGTATTAGAGTATTAAGTAAGGCGGCAGCAGTTTCACAGGTAGGGAATTTGCCCACAGACTGAGAAAACGTATGATGCGTGATGCTTCGCAGCTGCTCAGGAAGGCTGTTCCAGATGCGAGCGTAATAAACTAGAAAGAAGTAGTGTCGTAGGTTTGTACGAGCTGAGGGACACACTTAGAGGTTGCAGGAGTTGTGGAGTCTGTAGCGGGGTTGTCAGTTTATGCTTGGTCTAGCCTCTGCTATAAAGACGCTCTTATGCAGGAGACGGTGTAAGAGAGGTAGATTCAAATTTAACCGTTTGAGCCATAGTGGTTCGGGGCCTAGTATTTGACAGCAGGACCGGTTCGACCAAGGAAAGAGCTTTCTCCTAAACGGGCGTTGGACATTTATAATTGCTAGTCTGCAACTTTGGGCGTAAAAAGAGGAGAATGCGGGACAGAATTCCACGATAGGTCGTGCGCAACCATCGTGTCTGGAAGGTGGTAAGAGCGCAGTAATAAAGATCCAAGCACGTGTGCCCTTGCAACCTGAAACTGCACCTGGCGGGAAAAGCTAAAAGTACGGGAGTATCTGAGGCCGAGATCTTTGATCTCCATGGAATAGGTGAGAGGATTTCCATTTCTTTTGAGTGTCAGCCGCGAGTATCAGCGGCGGGAAGTTATACAGGATTTTGTGTTTATGCCAGAGTCGTTTGACCAACGAGTCAGTGAATCCAAGTGTAGCTCAATCTGGGAAAGGCAAGGGATTTTGCAGAGGTGGGGAATTTGTTCGCGGTTTTTATATCGTCCGCGAAGAGGAAAGCCTTGATATGGGGTATGGCGTCGAAGACGTCACTGATTCACCGATTGACGGATTATACACTGGATCGAGGCTCTTGCCAAAGATTTCCGGGTCGCTTTTCTTCCTCTCGGTCAGTGGCTGCCGTCCACCTGAAAGGCACAAGCGAAAAAAGGTGTTAAACTGCTCTTTATGTTCTCAGCGCGAGGCAGTATGCTGGCCAGCGCGAGGATTCGCATAAATAAATGTCTAATAGTGCCTTAAACTGGGTTCTAGAAAGAGCGTGGACAACCGTCGGAGGAAGGTCATTTCAGGCAGCCACTAACCGAAATGAGAAAAAATTTTGTTTAATGAATGTGTGTGCTCTGAGCTTGAAAATTTTCTTACTATGTCCCCGTCGTGCGTTTGCTGGGTCAACGGTGAAAAACCCGTTTGCCAAGCTTTGTTTGAACAGGGCATAATTAAGAATTAGGTTTCCTCGGAGGCCACGGTACTCCAGGGGAAAGAGATCAAGCATCGCGTGACGAGTTTCGTAATCCACGGATTTGAGGCCGGCAACCATTCTCGTGGCGGCCCGCTGGACACGCTCAATGAGAGCGGCGTCTTTCGTGCGTCCTGAGTAGACAACTTGGTTGGCGTACTCCAGGAGCGATCTGACTTAGGCCCCACAGAGTATTTGGAAGTCCATTCGAGTAATACGGGAGAAGGTGCGTCGGGTCATCCGCAGAATGGCTAATGCCTTTAGGGCCGATTTCTCATGGTGCAGTGAGAAGGAAGAGTTTGAGGAGACCCAGATGCCCAAATCCTTTTTGGCATCTATACCCATGATGTTTTCTGGTCCCTTTTCACCATGCATAACAAAGACATTCGCTGAATCCCGTGCAAACGACATATGGACGCACTTTTCACCATTCAGAGGGAGGTGCCAGTCCAACGACCACTGTTTGACAGAATCTGCATCCATTTGGAGGGCACTGGCATTGTAACTCCAGGATTTCAGGTCGTCCGCAAAAAGTAAACATGGACTCGCAAGAACGTCTGGGAGGTCGTTGACTTAGATCAGAAACAGAAGTGGTCTCAAGACGGAGTCTTGTGGAACTCCAATGGAGACCGGTGCTGGAGAAGAGTACGTCGAACCTATCCTTACTCATATTGATGTGTCTAATAGGAACGCCTTGATCCAGCGAAGGATTTTTCCTTGGATCCTGTAGGACTCGAGTTTATAGGGCAGTGGGACGTGTGAAACCCTATCAAATGCTTTTGAGAAGTCGAAAAATAGGGCGTCCGATATGAGTCCTTCGTCCTTGGCTTGGGTTAAGCTGTCCATAAACACGAGCATGTTTGTCACGCAAGAGCGGTTTGGGAGAAATCCGTGTTGAGCTGGAGATATCAGATTGCTTGAAGTAAAGTGATCTAGGATAGCTCGCTTCAGAATGCGTTCTATTACCTTGCACGGCACGCTAGTGAGGCTTATAGGCCTATAGCTGCCAGGCGATA